GGCCAGAATATCATTTCCCTCTTTTAAACTGACTTCTTGGGTGTTTGAGTCACAACAATATAAAAGTGACTAATATAAGCAGGGAAAGACAATGAGTCCACAGAAAGGAACAAACGAGGTATGCACACTTTCATGAAGCTTCTGGGAAATGCTTGGTGTTTTTCTGATAAGAGTCACTGGTCTTGTTAATGATAGCCTCCTCCTCCTCTTCTTTCTGCGGTGATGGGAAGTAAGAAGGGTAGGGCTGTGGAGGCCACTGTGAGAGTGAAGAAAAGGCCAGGAGAGGTTCGGAAGTCCTTGCCTTCACTCTCTGGGGCTCCTGTGCTTGGACCCAGGAAGGAGGAAGCTGTTCCTTACTCCAGAGGGCCACATAGCACCCCCTCTTGTTTCAGGAGAACTGCTGAGCAAAGCGCCTAAGAATTCCTTTCTTGGACTAACTTTCTCATCTCAACCCAAACAGTTATCACCAAAACAAAATGAAGGAAAACAACAGCCAGTACTGGACAGGGTGTGGGAAAGAATGCTTAGCTATTGGTGCATGCAGGCTCTACAGAAAATTAAAGCTAGCTTTGTGATTTAGCTATCCCACTCCTAGGAACACACCTGAAGGAATCTAAGTCAGGGCACCACAGGGAAATGTGCATGCCTACATGTACTGTAGAGCTATTTGCTACAGCCAAGGATTGAAATTAGACCAAGGAGCCTGTCGCAGAAGACTGAATAGAGAAAATATGATACGTACACACAGTAAAGTTATTATTTAGCTCTAAAGATACACAGAATCAGGAAACATGCAAGAAAACCCATTGGGCTAAAGGACACCAAGGTAAAAATAGGCCACAGAGGGAAAGGTGAGTGCCATTTTGTCTGTCACAATTGGAAAGGGGAAAGGAAGAAAAGTGGCCTGAGAACAGAAAGGGGACTATTCAGGAATGGGAAGGAGAGGAGAAGAGCAAGAGACAGCAGAAGAGAGTGAATACAGCCTGGTACATACATGTGTGGCAATGTCACCACAGCATGGTACATACATGTGTGGCAAGTCACCACAGCATGGTATATACATGTGTGATAATGTCACAACAGCAGGGTATACACATGTGTGACAATGTCACAACAACATGGTATACACATGTGTGGCAATGCCACCACAGCCTGGTACATACATGTGTGGCAATGTCACCACAGCATGGCATGCATATGTGTTGCAATGTCACAACAGTACCCATTAGTGATTTTAAAAAGGGATGATTTTTTTTCTTTCTCAACTAGATATGAAGAAGGGGAACGCGCTAAAGTAACAGCAAATTAACACCACCAGCTACTCCCCAGGCCTAGCTGCAGCCACGGGTAAGCTAAGCCACAGTTCATGCTCTGTTCCAGCTTTCACAGTTTAGCTTTGCTGCAGGCTGAGGTGGTGTGAGAGAGAAAAGCCACACCCACCTCTTCAAATTCGTTAGCACTTCCCACCTAATGCTCCAGCTGGCTGTGTCAGCCCACAGCTTATGACTGCAGTTGTCAAACAAAAGCTTACAAAATCCTGACCAGAGGAAAAGCCCTAACTCTCCCCAGGACTTTTTTAGATACCTTCTTCCTAGAAAACCAGTACACATTAAGTTCACCTGGGACCATCTTGCTTAAATACCTTAAAAGGAATCACTTAAATATTAGATATGTATCTAAATAAGGAAGGAAGGAGAAAGGGAGAAAAAGAGGAGTGGTGGTTTGAATGTAATTGGCCTCTATTAGCTCATAGAGAGTGGCACTATTAGGAGGTGTGGCCTTGTTGAAGTAGGTGTGGCCTTGTTGAAGTAGGTGTGGCCTTGTTGAAGTAGGTGTGGCCTTGTTGGAGGAAGTGTGTCAATGTGGGAGCTGGCTTGGAGGTCTTCTATGCTCATACAATAGCAAATTCAGACCACTTTCTGTTGCCTGAGCGTCAAGATATAGAACTCTCAGCTCCTTCAGCACCAGGTTTGCCATGCTGCACCGTGATGACAATGAACTAAACCACTGAAAATGTGAGCCACCACAAATTAAATGCTTTTTCTTTATAAGAGTTGCCATGGTCATGATATCTCTTTACAACAAAAGAAAGACTAAGAGGGAAGAGAGAAGAGAAGGAATGGAGGAAGAAAAAGGAAGAAAATTAGTTAGAAGGTAGAATCGCTCCTAAATAAGACCCATGAGCTAGGTTCCAAGGACAGCAACAAAGCGACACTCCACAGTATTAACCTATCCCAGCTCAACTCACTAAAGACAAGGTCCTGGGGAAGCAAAAGGAAATAATAACAAAAATTACTGGCTATGGACTGGAAGCAAATCAGCAGGAAGATGTGTGTGTGTGTGTGTGTGTGTGTGTGTGTGTGTGTGTGTATGTGTGTGTGTGTGTGTGTGAGATTTTAACATAGTAATAAAATTCTGCAAGTAGTAGATATGGTCTTTAAAGTGAATGTTTCAACTGATACTGTTGATATATTTTAATTGTGCTCCACCCTCTAGTTTTAAAAGATTTATTTTAGCTTTAACTAATTGCAGTTGTGTGTGTGTCTGCGCATGAGAGTGCAGAAGTATTTACAGGCCAGAAGGGGGTGTTGGAGTCCCTGGTTCCAGAGTTACAAATGGTTGCCAATCTTCTGACATAGGAGCTAGAATTGAACGTAGGTCCTCTACAGGAGCGATACTCTGAGCCATTTCTCCAGCCCTTGTCATTTAAAAAAATAATTTAAGCATTTTTACATGCATTTATGCACAGAGAGGGCAGCTTGTGGGAGTCACTTATGTCCTTCCATCATGTGAAGGACCATCCACCAGCCCCTTAGCCTTCCAGAAGAGATTCTCCTTTTCCAGAAGAAAAATGACAAGGGCTGGAGAAAGCCCGGGCTCTCTCAGTCTTACGCTATTGTTACAGTCACCCTGTAGCATTTTGAATGACAGGAAACAGAGAAAGGACAGGAGACAAATCCCCTCATCCAAGGTCCTTTAATTACCTCCTTTAAGAGACAGAGGCTCAACTACTAAATACTAGAGCATAGAATGTTGTTACTTTCTTTTTCTTATATTGATAACAAATTTGGAATCAAAATACACTAATGTTGTATTTCCCAGAGGAGTCATGATGGAACAGCACTTAAAGTTAAACATGTAAAGAGGTTAAACAAGGTTTAAAATACATGTTAGTTTGACTATATAGGTTTTTAATCTTAAAATAAGATGAGCTTTGTGTTTATTTTCTCCATTTATACTGAAGAAATAAAACCAATACTATTTCTTTTTTGTTTGTCTTTTTAAAGACCTTGGAGCTCATTGTAGTGGATACAGCAATATGTGGCCCAAACCTCTCTCTGTTTTGCTAACAGCTCTCCACTGCTGATTCATTCGTAGATCCTTGCTTACCAACACAGGAAACCAACTATGTCAAGATTACAGTCCTTCCCTAACGACAACCAAGAACCAAGGACCAGTCCATGCACAGAGAAAAAGGAACCCCTTCTTTACAACAGGACCACTCTGAAGAAACTAGACCAGCTACACAGCACACCTTGGGGTTCAGTGAGGCCTCTGGGGCCTTGCTACTTAACTCCCCTCTCTGCCCAGTCCTGAGTCCTGTATGCCTTTGCATACAAGATCACCCCAAAATAAAGTGTTGAAAGACTGTAGTGTAAGAACTTGTCTGAAAACGCCAAATCAAAACAATACATATCTTTGTACCAAAGCCTGTTATATGTTGCCATGAGCTGTGGTCACCACAGCTGAACACAAAACTCACACTTCAACTTAACTGGGATGTTGTTAACTTTTGACCAACATCTTGGAAGACTATTAGAAGCATATTGAAATGTCACATTTAAGAATATGTTTGTTTTTCATTTATTTCTCAAAGTATTTATATCACGTATATAAATTTGTATCTAATATTATTGGAGATTATGTTTGACTTTCCTAAATTGTGGTGATCATTATATATGAAGCACTTCTTAGTTCTAAGTGCTTAATTCTGAAGAAGTAAAGGTTGTGATTTTTTTAAGTATTAATCTCTGCCTAAGCCATCTTAGGAAGTTTTGATACTATGTCTTCCTCCTTTGACTTCATTATTCTTCTAAATGGACACTTAGAACACCATCAAAAATATGCAGTTTTAGCTCATATTTCCCATGGTTTATAGAAGACATCCCTATAGCATTTTTTCCTTTTGCAATCCATTCAGCAATGCTTTCTTTTGGTTTTTTAATAAACAAATGGAAATAAAAGGCATGTCTGTCTTATCTCTGATTATAACTGAAGTTTTAGACTCTTTCCCACTTAAATTGTTGTTTGGGAGATACTCTTTCCTGAAGCAGGAAGAGAAAAGTCAGGATTTCTTGGATTTCCCCTTTAGCTCATGTGAGTGATCATGTGAGCATATTCCCTTCCGTGGAATACTCTTGCTTTTCTGTGCCTGTGTTTCTTTAATGTTCATAAATGCCCAAAGAATGTTTACTTAAACATGTCAAATACTAGTGACTTTGTAAAAGGGAAGCAAAAACAAATTAATTTAAGAATCAGTGAACCAAGCAAAGCTAAATGGTACCTTCCTGAACCTCATGTACAGCGTCAGTCTTCAAGAACAGAGTACAAAGTGGCCAGTGGATTTTTGTGAATCTTCCTTTTCTCATGGACCACTGGAGACTACCTTCTTACAGATCTAACTGTGGGGCCTCAAATGTGAAGATCAGAGGCTAAGGCTTGCAAATCCTCCCAGTACATGAAACCAATTAGACAACTCTAAAGTTAAGCCACAAAAATAGGATGTCAAAATTATTTGAGAAAAACAAAACAGTTGAATGACTTTTTACACTAGACATGCTTATTTATGCTAGATTTTTCAAATGATTGATGCTTGACCAATCTGACCATTCCTCCAGCCAGTCTTAAATATAGGACGAGGAAAGAGTATAATCATACCAGTTCCCACCTGTCTTTGCAATGTGACCCCTAGTATCATAGTTAGGGCAGACAGCACTCACCAATGACATATTCCACTCTGAAGTAATCCTGCCTGGGGACATATGGGCGATTGAAGTCAATCTGGATGTAGAAAGTCTGCCCTCTACGGACTATCAGCTTGTTACTGTCGTATTTGTCTGTGTGGTGATCAATCTTGTTGCTGTCCCATCTCTCTTTGAACAGGTGAACCGCTGTGACAGTCAGGTAATCTGTTCATGCAGAAAGCAAAATAAGGAAACCATTAAAGATAGTTGACCTACATACACTCTCAGTAATCAAGGCTATTTTTCTAGAAGAAGGTCAGCTGAATGAAACTACAACGGAAGGGGGGGCAGTAGATTTGAGAATCAGCCTCTTGTTTTGGAAGACAGGTATTTTTTACCCTCTCTCCACCTGTGAGCTCATTTCGGAGCACAGAATACTCACTTTGGGAGAGACAGGTACCTAGTTTATAGATCTAGAAACAGAGGAGGGAGGGTCAGAGTTCAAGCCTTCCATCTCATGCTGGGTTTTAAGTCAGGTCCTCCCACCAGGACTACGCCTCCCTGTGTGACATTGCCACTTCAATTGCCCCATCTTTCAAAAAGGAGGAATCAAATCTGACAAAGCCTCAAAAGCAAAAAGCTAACCATTAATTCAAACTTCTTCTCCCACCCCAGGAAGGCTCAGATGTCCTCCGACTGTAATTCTAAAAATAGATCTGATTCCTCAAAGGCAGAGACAGGGAGGGGAACCTCCTCTAGAAAGAAAAGCAGTTTTTCTGTGTGATAACATGTGATCATGTCCACTGGCATGGGCAGAATTAGACTCACACTTTCTTGGCTCCTAAATGAGCCATTTAGGTGTCAGACTCTTGTTTTCCGTCTTTGTGTGTGTGTGTGTGTGTGTGTCAAAACTTCCATGGCTTTCTTGTCTTTTGGATCAGGAGTATACATGTCAACTACGTGTTTGCTACTCTTGTAGTTTTGCATATATGGCATACATCCACTTATTTTACAGGTTCATGTGTCAGGTTACAAAGTCCCCCAGAGGCATACATATATGATGGTGACACGAGATTCCTTGAGTGAAAGGAACCTGCAGAGAGTGTGACACATGCTATCCCTGGAGAAGGGTGAGCTCCCCTCTTGCCTTGTCTTCATCCTGTCATGCACATGATCACCACACTGAAGGCAGGAATATTTACATTGTGGTTTAGGAGATTGAGTGGGGGAACTGGTTTCTGTACATATGTTTGGAGTTCCATGCAGGGAATGTTGGGTCAGGTAGCCTGGACTCTCTTTTCCAAGCTGCCTGGCTACTTGATGCATGCTTTACTGTTATGTTTGGAGACAGCCTACTTCCCCTCAAATTTACATTTGGCAGTCTCTGAAACACTCTAGATAAAGTTAAAGTTTAGGTAAAACTGAGTTTGAAATTTGAGTCTCAAAATACCATGTATAGGAAGAATTTCCTTCTATGTTAACAGAGATTTCTGTTTCCACAGCTGTTCAGTTCCAAAGAAACACACAGAGGCCTACATTAGTTATAAATTGGTTGGCCTATTAGCTTGGGCTCTTTATTAACATCTTACATCCTGCATTAACCCATAATTCTTGTCTGTTTTATTAAAACAATACAAGACTATTGTCCCACAGCCTTTCTAGATTTGAGTTCTCTTCATTTTCAATTGAGGATATTGTTACGTGGAAAGTTTCTATGAAGACTGAGCTATAGCAGGTGGGTCTGGTACTATACCTGGTACAGAGTGGGGCCATCAACCTTCAGGCTCTTGACCTCAGATGGAGCCACTCAATGTGGTGGGGCACTCTGACTGTGCTGTTAGGCAAGCAAAGTGCAAGGCATTGTTTTATTTTTGCCTCAACCTGAAGACTTGTCAACGTACAGGGGGCTCTTAAAAAGCACTTTTCCCTTTAACCTGGAAGCTGCAGATGTACAGTTTTGGAGCCTCTCTTTTCCATGGTGCCTTTTCTTCTAACTTCTATGGCTTTATCAAAGCCACAATTCCAATGTTATAGCAACCTGAGAATGAGCTGGGAATACACAACTGTTGAAGGTTATGCCTTTTAGTGTGGGACTGCAGAAACAACTCACTGGATAAAGTACAAGCACAAGGACCTGAATTTAGATTGCCAGTTCCTATTAAAAGTCAGGTGACAGCATCAAGTGTTTATAATTAAAGGTTGGAGGAGTGGATACAGACAGAGCCCCAAGGCTTGATGGCTAGGTAGTCTAGCTCCAGGTTCATTGAGAGACTCTGTGTCATAAAATTAGGGGTTAATGATTCAAGAGGATGCTGGATGTTGACCTCTGGTCTCCACATGCATGTATACACATGCACCAATGTATGAACATATACAGAGCACATATATAAACTAGTATGCAACCCTCTCTCTGACTATGTTTCTCTGTGTGTATTCTCTCTCTCTCTCTCTCTCTCTCTCTCTCTCTCTCTCTCTCTCTC